TAATTTTTTCAGATGAAGTAAAAATTAACCTATTTACTAGTGATGGGGCAAGATATGTTAGACATTACCCAGGAGAAAAACATAACAGTAAAAACAATGTACCCACAGTAAAACATGGAGGAGGATGTGTTATGGTCTCGGGTGTATATCATATCAAGGTGTTGGTAGACTAGTATTTATAGAAAATACTATGACAGGGGCTGCTTATAAACAAATTTTAGCAAAAAATTTAAGACAGTCAGCTAATGAAATGGGTATTGATTCATTTATTTTTATGCATGATAATGATTCAAAACACACTTCAGGTGTTGTAAAAGACTGGATTGATGCAAAAGAAATTGACATTTTACCTTGGCCACCTCAAAGCCAAGATTTGAACCCTATTGAGCATATATGGGCTTTTATTAAGAAAGAACTTTGTAAAAAGGGTAAATTAAAAAAAAACAAGAACTTAAAGAGGAAATTCTAAGAATCTGGAATTCCATAACATCCAAGATGGTACAGCCATATATTATGAGTTTTAATAAGAGAGTTCTAGCAATATACAATGCTAAAGGCAAACATGTTGATTATTAAATTTTAAGTGGCTCTTTTTTTTTGAACAGTGTTTTAAAAATTTTTAATTAAAAGTATAATTTATTTTATAAATTTTTTGATTTCTTTTTCACATTAAATTTACTTTATGTGTTTAAAAGCAAAATAATCATGTAAATTTTACCTTTAATATATTTTTTAAATGTTTTCTTTCAAAAAATACCCCGGCTCTTTTTTTTTGAACACCACTGTATTTCATTTTAAGGGCAAATGTTAGAATAAGTATTAAATATTACCACTTCGTATAAATCAATTTTTTCATTTATTCTGCCACCATGAAATCTTATCTTGTCTTTTAAATCATGTAAAAAACTATATCCTTCAAAACAAGAATCCTTGTTAACTTCATAAACGTTTATATTATTATTTATAATTTCATTTAAATCAATTAATCTATTTAATATTTCAACTTTTATTCCAGATTTTATTCTACACAGCCAATCAAGATTTACAATTCTATGGTTGTCTTTTATAAATTTTAGAAGGATTTATAAAAAACACTGAAAAAGGTCTTTTTTTGTTATTGATTTGTATTCATATTTGACTTTTCCACTTCTTTTATTTTTCATGTCATTTATCAAATCTTTAATTAATATAATGTGTTACAAAAGTCTTCTAAAATAAATCTAAGGCACTTTTCACATATGTATTCATATTAAAACTATTTATATATTAAATATATTAAATTATTATTCATTACATTTTTAAACTAGAATATTTTATTATATATGCTGAAACCTAAGGAGTGATTAGAACAAAGTTTATTAAATCTTTCTATTGATCCATAAGTGTCTTCCTTACTCCCTACGTAAGGGCTACTTTCTATATCTAACTCATCTCTAATATCATCTGTCTCTCTCTTACTTAAATACTCTTCACTCATCCTGTATTTAATTTCTATGGGTTAAATAAAATATCTTCTTTAGATATATCACCTGTCAAATCAATCAAAATCTCTTTAAATTTTCTTTGTTACTTAATTAAACAATTTACTCATTTTGAAGGATACGACAATATACATAGATAAAACATGTTTTTTATTTAACATTCTTAAATATTATAATTATATTGTAATACTTTTTATTTATAAAATTTTCATTTTTGTTAATCACATAATAAATATTTTATCTTAATTAAACTCTTTTTTTAAACCATCTACTATATAAATTAAAAATGAAAGTTTATCACTAATAAATAATTTTTTAATAAATTTTTATAAATGTCTTTGTGGATAGAAAAATACAGACCAACTGAAATAAAAGACTTTGAAGGATCTGATAAGCTAATTAATTTCTTTAACACAACAATAAAAAAGAAAATCCTGCCAAATATTTTATTATCTGGATCTGCTGGCACGGGTAAAACAACATTTGCAAAATTACTAGCTAATGGATTAAACGATCAAAATAAATTTTTAGTAAAGGAATACAACGCATCAAATGACAGAGGTATAACGCTTATAAGAAATGAGATTAAGAATTACAGTAGCATGTTAAGAAGAACAATTTTAATTTTAGACGATGTGAAAATCTGACTAAAGATTCTCAGACATGTCTCAGAAGAATTTTAGAAGATTATTCAGACACTACTAGTTTTATATTCATAACAAACTATCATTCTAAAATAATTTATCCGTTAAAATCAAGGTTGCTTGAGTTTAAGTTTAGAATTAATCTATCTGATGTAAATATACTCAGTAAGATTTGTT